ATCTATCTATCTATCTATCTATCTATCTATCTATCTATCTATCTATCCAGGTTTGTGGCTTCGTGGGTCTCTACTACAATGTGATCATTGGTTGGAGCATCTTCTACTTTTTCCAGTCCTTCCAGTACCCTCTGCCATGGAGCGATTGTCCAATCAGAAAAAATGGGACTCTTGCCAGTGAGTGACAGTTAATATTAACTTAGTTACAGGCTATTTCCAGAGACATCTGCCTTAAAAGATTCAAAACAGCTCTCTAAGGTATATCTAAGGTATATAACACTGAAAAAAGGCTGAATGAAATCTATGAAGCTTACAATCGGTCTAAAGGGGACAGAAAGGTTGCTTTAAATATCCCCCCTGTTAACTATCTTGCCCTGTCATGTCCCATTTGCTTGTCTTAATTAGCAGGCCAATGAGGCTTCCTCAGTTTCACGGTTTCTCGAGCAGGAACACTAGATTTATTTTAGTAAGTGGGAGGGCAAGAACAGTGGTGCAGTCAAACAGGTGACAGTAACTGGACACAGGACAACTGACCTGACGAGCTGACCAGCTGAATTAAAGCTGCTGACTTTTCTTACTGGTGTCGAAGCCAAATTCTTTTTTATAAAGACCACAAAAAACGTTAAAACCCTAACCCAGCGATAAAGAAAAAAAGGTGGTTACTAGTGACAAACCTCAATGTACTTTAACCCAATATGCAGAGTTTTGACAGGGTAAATATTCTGTACACCTTATGGGCAGCAATGCTGTAAAGTATCTGAATAAATTTGTGTTGCCTCCAGCCTTGCATCGCCATCAGTCCTAACAGCTCCCTGTCACCACTTCTCTGACAAAATTCAGACTGAAAACCTCTAGAGTTTATTCAATTAGTGGTGATAATGAAGTAACCCACCGGGCAGCCGAGGCACGCTCTGCATGTATATGACTCAGCAAGTCTCTGACCGAGGAGCCCCACAGAATCAGGGAGCAGCTGAATGTCGAATTTATCCCCAAGTTAGCATTTAGATCTAATTCCACTGTGACTGACAGAGACACACCAGACTGGAATACCAACCACCATATACAGTACATGTGTTTCCTTCAAGGCCGGGTATACATTGAAAAAAATGACTGGTGATTATGCAAAATGGAGGTTACTGCTTTGCATGCTAAGTGGGCTGATGTCCTTGTGTTGGCATCAGAGAGGTGTAAACCAGCTGAGAACTGAGATGCCTGAGCAGACACGCTCTCCCTCTGCTCAACCCTGTTGTGTCTTCACATCTATTTCTGAGTAAAAAAACCTCCCCCTTCTCTCACTCTGGTGCACAGTCATAGAGCCGGAGTGTGACAAAAGCTCGGCCACGACATATTTCTGGTACCGGCAGACTCTGAACACAACCAGCACCATTGCAGAGAGTGGCGGCCTGAATGTCAAAATGACCCTGTCTCTGCTGGTGGCCTGGATCATCGTCTGTCTCGCAGTCATTAAAGGAATCGCCTCCTCTGGGAAGGTAGTGTTGTGGAGAAGATGAGCTAGACAAATAGAAGAAAAGTCTACACCCGTTAAGGATGTATTTTGAGTGTGTGATTGCTTTTTATCACCTCGACAGGTGATGTACTTCAGCTCGCTGTTCCCCTACTTGGTGCTGTTCTGCTTTCTGGTCCGGGGTTTAATGCTGAAGGGATCAGTGGACGGGATAGCTCACATGTTTACTCCAAAGGTGATCCTGACACATCTGCGGCGTCGTCCGATAGTGGTATTGTCTCGGGTGTGTTTCCCTCTTTCAACTAATGCAGTTTGTCCCCGTGCTCATCTCACAGTTGGAGAAGATGTTGGAGCCCCAGGTGTGGAGGGAAGCAGCCACCCAGGTCTTCTTCGCCCTCGGACTGGGGTTTGGAGGAGTCATCGCCTTCTCCAGCTACAATAAGATAGACAACAACTGTCACTTCGACGCTGTGCTCGTCTCTTTCATAAACTTCGTCACCTCCATTTTGGCCACGTTGGTGGTCTTTGCCGTGCTCGGTTTCAAGGCTAATATCATGAATGAAAAGTGTGTTACAGAGTAAGTTCCCCACCTCCAGCTCCCTTTGTTTCGAGGTTTTTGGTTTTTCTTTTGAACTTTCTATTACTCTTCTGGTGTGTCCTTGAATTTTTACTCAGTTTGCTCGGCTTCTCCCTCAGTTGTGTTCCTCACTACAGGGAATCTTAAAGGAAAACTGATTTGTTTTTGTTCTTTGTCATCACTCCAGACCATCAAGTAATATTTCTGTTTCCTCTTACTTCTGCAGGAATGCAGAAAAGATCCTGGGATATGTCAACTCTAACGTCCTGAGCCACGACCTCATTCCTCCACATGTGAACTTTTCTCATCTGACAACATCAGACTACGCCGAAATGTACGGAGTCATCAAGACAGTGAAAGAGGACAGCTTTTCCCGCCTGGGTCTGGATCCTTGTCTCCTGGAGGACGAGCTGAATAAGGTAAGTCTTTGGCAGACATTATAACAGTCGAATCCACAATAAGTGCTTTTTGACCCAGAGTCGACCATCTCTCTGCAGGCCGTCCAGGGCACTGGCTTGGCCTTCATTGCATTCACAGAGGCCATGACCCACTTCCCAGCGTCTCCATTCTGGTCAGTGATGTTCTTTTTCATGCTTATCAACCTGGGTCTTGGTAGCATGATTGGCACCATGACTGGCATCACCACACCTGTCCTGGATGCCTACAAGGTCCAGAAGGAACTTTTCACAGGTACGCACCCCCCGATCCCACACTCTGAGTCTCTGTGACAGGCATTTGCTTTTAGTAGATGAGAGCCTTTACTCAGCACTTAGAAGGGATTAAAGTACATCTGGGAATGGGCTGCATTAGGCTTTGTAATATTGCTCTGAGTGTTCGAAACAGTAACAGGAAATAAAAAAAACTCACTGCTGCTTCAAAAAAATCTTGAATTTTTTTCCTAAATTTCCTCTGAACGAGGTATTAATGTCTCCTCTTGTCTCTGTGTGTGTTTTTTTTCAGTGTGTTGCTGTATTGTGGCTTTCCTTTGTGGCCTGTTGTTTGTTCAGCGTTCAGGAAATTATTTTGTTACCATGTTCGATGATTACTCAGCTGGACTGCCCCTCACGGTTGTGGTCATCCTGGAAAATGTATCCGTTGCCTGGATATATGGCACTAAAAGGTAATTATAAGTGTGGGTGAGTGATTTTTTGCTGAGAGTTGCATATTGACTTTGCTCTGTATAAGGGAAAATCTTCAACACTTTTTAAAAATAAAAACCTTGTTATTGTGCCGTTTTTAGGTTCATGCAGGACCTGGAGGACATGTTGGGTTTCCGCCCATCTATGATCTATTTCTACCTGTGGAAATACGTCTCCCCTCTGTGTCTCATCGTTCTCATCTCAGCTACAGTCATAGAGATGGCCATCAGCCCACCGGGTTATAATGCCTGGGTTCAAGAGCTGGTCAGTGTGTGTGTGTGAGTGTGTGTGTGTGGTGAGTGTGGGTGTTTTACACCAGGCTTTTGACATCATCAAAGCATACACCAAATATTTCGGACAGATTAAGGATTCTTTTTTAACCATGGGTGTTATTTAAAATCACATAAGCACTATTGGATCATGCACACACCTAATAACTTTTGGCAGATCCTTTAAGCCATAAGAATGGGCCTCTGCCGTGTCATTTTGTTTTGATTTCTCTATTTTGATTTCTGCCCATGAGCACTTGTAGTGGAAGATGTCCAGGTAAAATATGTTATTTAAACAGATGGAACAGATTAAAATAATTTACTGTATGGCTGAATGGTGGCTGATTCAGATCAGATCAAAAATGTTTGTCTTGAAATAATTTTCTGAGTTGGAGCTCATCACTTACAGCCTCTCTGTTACTTTAGGCCCAGGAACGCTTCCAGAGTTACCCTCCCTGGGCTCTGGCCATGTGCTTCGCTCTCATCGTGGTGGCCATGCTTCCTCTTCCTATTGTCTTCATCGCCCGTCACTTCAACCTGATGTCCGATGGCTCCAACAAGCTGTCCGTCTCCTACCGTAAAACCATGATGAAAGACATATCCAACCTTGAGGAGCAAGACGAGGCCAGGTTCATCCTCGGCGCCAAGCCCGGTGATCCGGCAGTTCCGGCACGCAGGCCCTACGTGACCCCAGCAGGGAATAAAGCTCTGGATCCCAACTCTTTGTCTCCAAACATCTGCTATGGCACAAGCTACCAAAACGCCGCCATAAGCCCCACCACGCCAACAACACCGCCAACGCCTGTCACACCAGAGTCGGACTCTTGAGTGCTGTCCAACCCCGAGAAACAGCCCGTAACACCCAGTCCTGTACAACACTTTACTTTTTAGCCATAAATCTCCACTGGGGGTCACTGCAGCACAAAGTATTTCCACCACTGCCCTTCCAATGAAACGAAACTCGGCAAAGACACCCAATTATTATGAGCACACTTGTCCCCAAAACATCGACCAAAAACAACCTGAAAGTCCACAATGTTTCCATAAAACCCAAAATCTGGAAAGGTCATTAGGAGATTTGTGTGACCCGGCAGGAGAAAAAAAACACACCTGTACATCTGTATATGTCTCAAGTTGAACAGTTTTGTCGACTTATATCAAAGGTTTGCGATCTGCTCCTCTTTGTCTTAGTATGAGACAGGTCAGCAGAGCCCAGAAGCACATTTCACATCTCTGTTCTGTGCAGGGGCTTTTAGAGAATGAATGTAAGGACTCATGCAGCAACGCAGCACAAAAAATTACCTTAAACGATAATATCGTTTAAGGTAGTAAAATCTCTGAGTTTCTGTCGCTGCCCTCTGTAGCCATATTGAGTGTCAAAGCCATACACAGCGTGACACAGACCAAGTTAACTGTTAGATCTTATGCGGTGTTTCGAGACAGAGCACAGATATGCAGAACTGCTCTGAGATTCTACGACCTACAAATACACACCATCCAGTGGATTTGTATTTTTACAGGACACTGTATAGAAGGCTGCTCTAAAGACACCTATTTCTGTTTGACCCTGACCCAGTGGACCTCCTGTTGTAGTTAATGTGTAACAATCCTTGTTCATTTTGTATAAAGGAATGTACAGTGTAGAAATATAATCTAAGATTAAATAGTTTTTATTAGTAGATCAGAGGCATCGCATTCATGTCGTCAGTGTTCTGTAGAAAACCTCTCATTTCAGTTTCACCACCAAAGAACAAAAAGTTAACAAATAACACTTGAATTCACAGAAAAACAGACCGGATGTGCAGAATTGTACTGCAAAAGCACACACATAGCGCATTCTTTTGAGTCATTGGTCTGAAAGACAGGGAAAGAGGATTTTAAATGACAGGAAGCACAAATTGTTCATGGGGAAGGGAAGAGAATGGCTAGTTTGATGCTGTGAAAGCAAAGCACACAGGAGATTATTGTGTTAAAAACACATTTCTGAAATGAATTATTACATCAGAGCACATATGGAACCGCAGCTAGATGCAATCATCAAATATATTTAGATATATGTTGATATAGGAGCACAAAAAAAAAATGCACAACCTATGTTCAAGGTGCGCTATGTAAAGTCTTCAAAGTATTTATTGATTCACCCTGACCAAATTCTTAATAACTTTACAGAAAATGGAGCAAAAGTATTGCGTCTACCTTCCTGAAAGCCTTAGACTCCTCACGTGCACAAGTAGAGACGTTTTTCTGTCCATCTGTGGAATACTAAACCTTGTGAAGTGTTCCTGAAGACGGGCACAGCCGGGATGGATGTGATACCGCTAACGTGTTGTTTTGTGCGCACTGATTGTGAGTTAATTTGCAAAACTGTTAGCAAGTTCAAACTGAGCACATTGCAGCTTCTGATTGTCAAAAAAATGACATCTATTTCTTTTTTTTATATCACAATGTTCAAAGCAGTGATGTTCATCTATAAATGGACTATATTTATAATCCTGTACATTTGCAGTTGTGTAGTTGTGACCAGTAAGAAAGATTTATCTTTTTCAAGTCATCAGTATTTAAAGTGAATATTTTCATGTGGTGTGATGCTTATCAAACTGCATATTTTAAGACTTAAATGTTATGTTTTTTGTGTATCTTTTTCTCGTTATGGGATATGAAAATGTTTAGATGCTAAGAAGTGTGACCCTGTGAGTAGAGCGGCTACTCCTTGTGGCTGTATTAGGGGCCAGGTGATGCACAGGCATCTGTCTACACCTCTGACTTTACTGGTTTACTTGTTTTCAGCCACACTAGCCTCAAAGTATTGTTGTAATTTCACTGCAGTTCGTGACAGCTGAACAGGATCCTGCTTAGCCTAAATTCTGGTTGAGATGTGTATGACTGTAGTATGAGAGCAGCTCCATTCCTGAGTTCTTAAAATAAGTTTTATATTAAAAATAACACAGAGAACAATGTAAAAAATCTGAGTCAAAGCTATCACTTCTCCTTATTTCCCTCTTTTAAGTCTTTTGTTTAGTTGTTGTTTTCATTTCAAAGTACTCAGAAAAAGAGAGGGATTTAATCTGAATCTATACAGTAAGATTTATTAAGTTCCACAGATCTCGAACCAATTGTTTGTGTAATAGTTTATTTCCTCTGCTGGTTTTGGCCCAGTTTGTTTTGGTGTTTGAATCTGCTGCTCTCATGCGACACCCAACCACATTCATCACCGTTCAGCATTCCGTTTAGGTTATATAGTCAGCAATTGATGCACATAGTAAGATTTTTTTCTTTGTTTTTTTTTCTTTTGTGAGTTTATGATGCGTAGTGAAAGGCTCTGAAACAGTATAGTCCCAGTTATCCGCCTCTCTGTATAAATGTTGGGCAAAAGCCCAATTAATGCAATAACTCGTCTGTTAATATTCATGAATGAGCTCTTTAACAAACTTACTTTAACAAAGTGAGAGTGTTCTGCTGCACTTTAAAGTGTCCATTGATGCCTCAGTCAATCCTCAGACCAAAGTTGGCATTTTCAGCCCCCCTGGTGGTGGATCTAAGATTAGTCATCTCTCAAACACATCCATTTATAGATGCTTGATGTTTTCTTTGTTTTTGTTTTTTTGTGATGAATGTTAAACTTTAAGTGGCTTTGGTGTGGCTTTAAACTTTATGTCCTCTCTGTATTGTTTGAGTTTCTGTGTGCCAGGTAAATGCTGCTGAGACCTAATCTCGTAAAAGTCTCCGTTCTGTCCCAGTCTGTAAATTGTCCTGTGTAGTCAGACCATTTTGAGGATAGTTTTATTTGTATAAATCATATTGGTGTCTTAAAAGTAAACAAGGTTTTTAGCAGTATGGTAACAAAGCAGTAATACAAAGTAATAATGAATGTGAGTAATGCACTTTTCCACATGTAAAAGCAGTAAATTCACGGTTATTGTAAAAGCAATATGTGGTCCAAACTGCAGAGTAACTGTGGCTGAAAGGAAAAAGCACCAGGAGTGTCTGTGCATAGAAAATCATTAAGAGCCATTCTCATAGTGAGAGATACAAACAAAACTAAGACTTTTTAAGTGCTCAAGTGCGTGTATTTATATGTACAAATGGATGTCTAGAATTAGATTGGTGTGTGCAGGGCCTTACTGAGAATACATTTGGATCACTGTCTGTACAGAAGAGCCCTTTAGAAACTTCCATTCACAATTTGATTTTCTCCTCGGTCATATGATTGTATGATGATGATGAAAATACTACTCATAATAAAGGCTGGACAAGCTGCTGAAGCATTTCTGCATTTTTTTTTTGGACCCAAACTGAGTCCCACCAATGACACCAATCTAAACACAGGAGTTTTTGCACATCATACCTTCATCCTATAGGTCTAGAAAACATGTCATTGTTCTGTATGATCCATCATTTAGGAGTAGAAATGTATCTGTGGATGCAAACAGTGCTAACTTTGCTTCACAGTGTTTGCTGCTTTAAATCACAGATCCTGATGGAGCATTTCTCTCCGAGCCAGAAGCCTGGGTACAGCGGCTCGGTGAATTTGGCCTCTAACTCGTAGAGAAACTTCATGCCATGCTTCACCTCATAGAAAGAGACGGTTCCCTCTTTGAATTTAAGATAAACTCCTATCCTGTGCTGGCTGGGCAGTGTTGCGAGCTGGACGCTGTCAGCCATGTGGCTCACAGAGTACGTTCTGGAGCGATCTAGACTCCAGGAGTTTGCGTTGCCTCCAAAGGCTGAGCGTTTGGTGCAGGATTTTCTGTCTATTCCTTTGTAGGTGAGGGCTATCTCCGCCATAGCTCCTTTCACTTCAACCTCGTAGTAGCATCGCTCAGCCAGCAGTCCCTCCCTGCACAGAACCTGCCGCCGGTGGATGAACCTTTCCGGATGACGGATTGCAGGAACTTTACATGTCCCTGGATACAACACCACTTCTTTCTCGCCTTCAGAAATCGACAGGTCCTGGTGAGCTGTGTTGGGGTCCAGAGAAAGTTCACATGCATCTGAGACAAAGAGGAAGAAGGATATAATCTTTGGGAGCACATTTCTGGTGTGTGTGAGGTGAAGTCAGGGTGAGCTGTGGGCCAGAGGATGAACTCACATTGCAGAAACTCCTCTCTGGTTTTAGGCTCCACTTCCCTCTCACTTTGAATCCTGCTCCATCCAGACAGGCCTGGGAGACCAAATCAGTGGTTTATTGGCGGAAACTCCAGTCATTTCACAGGTCACAGAGAAGGCACGGGTGCATATTCTGAAACCACTTCACCTCTGCTAATGTCCCGGTGAGTAGGTTGACCGTAACACGGTGGGAAAAAGAAAGAGTGCTATTACAGGACATTCTGCTTGTAGCTATTCTTGCATTTGACCACAATGGAGAGGTCTGCTGAGTATGAAATTACTTCATGGTGATGAAAGGGGAAGTTGTAATTCAAATTGCTCTTCTTAGCGCATACACTTAAATTGTGGTGTTTGCTAAGGATCACTACACTTTACAGGTAGCTCTTCCATTTTGGATAATGAAGTCTTTCTCCTCAAACATATACAAGTCTACGTAGCAAATGAGTCGGTTAAAAAGCGAATGTGCAGAGGTAAAGGAGCTGTTGTACCTGATGGCTCCCAGTGGAAAGAGTTAAAAGGATTATGGAAGCACATCAGGGTGCTTCCCTGCCTGAAGAAAACAAGCTAATTTCCACAAATGTACTCGACTTGGTATGGGTGTCGGGCAGAGGAGCAGAAGAGTCCGTCACCGATTTTAGAAAAACACAACAATCTGGCAGCTTTTGGTACAAACCAGGAAAATGTGATAAATTGGTTTCATGTCCTCGCTGAATATCTTCATCATCAGCCTCTGTGTCTGATTTCTCCTGTTCCTCGACGGTTACTTTAAAGCAAACGAGAAAACAGCGTTTCTTCCAACTCTTAACAGAATACATGGTTTCCATGACCGTGCAAAGATGTATACCGTCAGTGGAGATGGAGGCAAACTTGTCGTCACAGAACTCTTCCAGTTGCCTCCCGAGCTGCTCAACAGCTTTCTTTGTCACCTCAAAGGGGAGATGTGGTTCCTCTGAACCCTTTGCCAAAGGCCGGAGAAGCTCTTCATCACAGAGCCGTTTCACATGGGGCCATTCCTGTGGGAAGAGGTGAGCTGTCGTGAGAGACGCTATGAACGAATAAAAAAGCTTCCAGTGATAGAAATGCTTTACCTGCAGGAACTGCACGCTGCTTTTGCCTTGTGCCAAACTGTCCAACTGAGCAACTCTCTCCTT